CATGTGCGTGTGTGCATATGCACTCATATGATGTGTAATGTCATTTTTCTGGAAAAACTGAATAGGCCGGAAATCAGGGCAAAACACTTTAAAAAAGTCATATGGAAAAAAATAATCAAATCATAATCATTAGTTGAAGTGTTGCAAATAACTTTCCCTGTTATCTATGAGGCAGATACACTTCAGAAATTTCAAATCTGTGACAGTAGTGCATTTATAAGCATAACTTTGCAGATGTGTTTTTGCAACAGTTCTCTTTTGCGTTTCTGCCGAAGAGGGCGGGCCCATTCACAGCCACAGGGTCCTCCAGGCAGGTCACCCCTCATTTAGACCCCTATTTGGGCCTCTCCCTGTGGACAAATAAGTGGCTACAGCTCACATAATCTCGAAGAGAACCGTTTAAAACTCTCAGCACACCGTCAAGAGATTTATAGTAATATGCAATAAAAAAAGACTATAAGTACAACGTGACATACTTACAGCACAGGCACATGGGCGCACTGGGACACTTTTGAACAACAAAAAATCTGCCAGATGATAAAGTGCAGTTTTCATGGTAAAACTAGTGTAATATTTCAAACCAGGTAAATATAAAATTAAATGTCTAAAATCAGCAGGAAAACACACACATTATGTTTCATCAAGTGATAATTGCAAAATACTTGGCATTGTTGATAAAAGCTGATATATCCAGCTTATATCCAGTACAGCAGAGTTTTGCATTTTTATACTAGCTTTGGAATGATGCAAGCTAATGGCCATTTAATTGGCATTCGCGGCTAAAGGTGCAGCCAAAAACTTAACAAATAAAGCAGATGGCTGTAGAGTCTGTGGCCGTAATCCAATTTTTCTATAATAACAATTTAATAAATGACACTGTGAAAACAGTGTGACGTGACAGTGGTTACTCCCAGTGATTAAAATACTTAATCATCACCTGAATCTGTGAAAGAGATTTATAGTCATTTTGCTAATTAATCCTAATGATGATCTTTAAAAGCCATTTGCAAATTAATTTGCAGATCCAAATAATCGACACTCCAAGGAAATAAAAAGAAAATGTCACGTTTAAGTTTTATACCAAAAACTACACAAAGCTACCAATTCATACATTCCTTATCCATATTTGTGTCCATCACTGAACAGGTTGCTGGGCTCTCCCAGTGTTAATACAGAGAAGCAGACCTTCACACTCATGCCCAATTTAGTATCATCAGTTACTCATAAGTACAGAAGACAAGGTTTATTCTTTATGTTTACTTCTGCCACTTATGCTGAAAGAGCTCAAAGGTATTTAATTCAATTCAATTCAATTCAATTCAGTCAAATCATAACAACAGTTGCCTCAAAACACTTTATATAGTAAGGAAATGAACCTACAATAATACAAAGAAAAAAAGAGAAAACCCCAAGAATCTTATGACCTCCTATGAGCAAGAACTTTGGTGACAGTGGGAAGGAAAAACTCCCTTTTAACAGGAAGAAACTGTTCTAAGCCTAATCTTAAAGGTAGAGATAGTGTCTGTCTCCCAAATCCAAACTAGAAGTTGGTACAAAAGAAGAGGGGCCTGAAAGCTGAAGGCTCTGCCTACTATTCTGCTTCTTAAATACTTTAGGAACAACAAGTAAGCCTGCAGTCTGAGAGCGAAGTGCTCTAATAGGGTGATATGGTACTACAAGGTCATTAAGATAAGATGGGGCCTGATTATTTAAGACCTTGTATGTGAGGAGCAGGATTTTGAATTCAATTCTGGATTTAACAGGAAGCCAATGAAGGGAAGCCAAAACAGGAGAAATATGCTCTCTCTTTCTAGTCCCTGTCAGGACTCTTGCTGCAGCAGTTTGGATTAACTTGAGGCTTTTCAGGAAGTTTTTAGGAGATCGTGATAATAACGAATTACTGTAGTCCAGCCTAGAAGTAATAAATGCATGAACTAGTTTTGCAGTGTCACTCTGAGACAGGATGTTCCTAATTTTAGAGATATTGCGCAAATGGAAGAAAACAGTCTTACATATTTGTTTAATATGTGTATTGAAGGACACATCCTGGTTAAAAATGACTCCAAGGTTCCTCACAGTGTTACTGGAGTCCAGTGTAATGCCATCCAGACTAAGAATCTGGTTGGAAACTGCATTTTAAGATTTTTAAGGATGAGTTCAAAAACCTCAGTTTTATCTGAATTTAGAAGCAGAAAGTTAGAGGTCATCCAGATCTTCATGTCTTTAAGACGTTCCTCCAGTTTTACTAATTGGTGTGTGTTATCTTACTTTATGGAAAGATAAAGTTGGGTGTCAAATGTGTATATCAATAAAATGTATGCTCTGAAACCGGAAGGAAACTATTCAATTAAAACCATTCCTCCGCAGATGATCATTTACCTTCTTTATATCTACTCTTTTAAGAATTTTTGAGATAAAAGGAATGTTGGAGATTGGCCTATAATTACCTAAGACAGTTCAAATGATGACTTTTTTAGTAACGGTTTAACTACTGCCAGCTGACCTTTGCCAGCCCAGCTACAGTGCTGAAGAGAAAGCTAGGGTTGTTTGTATTTCATTCAATCAGTGAAGATGTTCTAGCTTTGGGCTTTCCGGGCCAAATTATGATCTTTTAAATTAGCGAGGCACCATTTCCTCTCCAGTTTTCGAGTTACCTGCTTTAAGGTGTGCATTTGAGAGTTATACCAGGGAAGTATGACTTAAGGCTTTCTTTTTCAGAGGAACTACTGTATCTAGAATTGCACTCATTGAAGAAGTAAAAATATTAAAAAGACAATCGAGCTCTGTGGGAGCAGCGTTCAGGTAGCTGCTCTACACTGAGTTGGTGCAAGGCACATAGCAGAGCACAAGGCATGTAGCTGGATGTAGAGTACACCATGTCTAGATGAACAGAATAAATGTTTTGAGACACCATCTATAGGTTTTTAATTAAATTGGCTTCGCAAAAAACACAACTGCGAGTTGTAACATGAACAGGAAGTGATGCTCTACCATATACATAAAGAAGTTTGTCAAATACCACATTTACCTGAACATAAACATAACCAAAAATTATATTCTGTATCACGATCAGTCATTTGAGCTTCAAGCGGCTCGAAATACAACGCAGTCCTGTGGGATAAAATCATTTCATGGTCTTACTTCATCTTTCTTACCTTGTATTTAAGACAAATACTATTTAGCTGCCATAATTACTATAAAGGTCAGGCTTTCATCGTATCACAAAACTGCCCCGGCTCGAATGCGCTGTTCAGGAGAGACATGGATAACCACAAACACAGACAGCCCAGTCTACTGTTTCTACCCAGAAACAGGCCTCTAAAGATAAGTTTCCTTGTATTACTGACAGATACGCAGACATCAGATTAATCAAACCAGCTGCTCTTACTGCTGCTTTTTCCTTGGTTAGAGATCTGATACTTGGGTCACTTTGTGCAGAATGGAGCAGTGTGCAGTGTGAGTACAGAAGGGAGCAGGAAAAAATAAAGTCCAAATGGAAGTCAAATAACACCAGAGATCAAATAAAATGCAATCTGGAAAATGTGACAACATTTCTCACCGGGGGATTTTCAAATGTAAACTCGCAGCCAGGAGTTTAAAGTTGCTGTTTCTCATCACATGAGAAAATGTAATTGGTTTCATTTGACTTTAAGACAGTCTTTTATAATCCTTTTAATCTCTTTTCCACTGATGATATTCCCACATCAATATGGTAAGTCAATGCTAAAGCAATTACACAAGCTGGTGAACTATATCAATGCACCAAAGCACCACTTTACTGAAGACGTTAGAATGCATGAGTAGGCAGCATGTTAACAAATCTGAGCAGTTTGTCAAAGAGAATTTTCCAAATCAACAACCAACAGCATCCATCTGAAACAACAGCCTTAAGGGTGCGTGATACAAGTAGCAGATGAGAGGCTAACAAATAACCTAACAAATCTCATGGAGATACCATAAAGTTACTGTGTTTCAGATGTGTTTTTTCAAAAAGAGTTCAGCAGACATAATTTCAGGGCACGACTAGAAGGAAAAATATGAGTGGAATAAGCGTGGGTTGGACTGATATATGGTGAAAGCAGACTTACTGTCAGGGTTGGGGGATTTGCGTCCATGGTTAGGCGAGGAGCAGCGGAAAGTGGTGACGATGGTGTTGTGGTGAGGGTTGGGGTGGTGCGGGTGGTGCACTGCTGGATGGTGGCCATTGTTCTCGGGAGGTGGTTTAGTGATGCTGATATCAGGTTTACGGATATCCCCTGGATTAGGGGGCTCAAACTTGCGGGTGTGATTTTGCTCAGGGGCTCGGCTGGTCCCGTTGTTGTTCATGCTGCTCTCATTGCGGCGTGTGACCGGGGAGTCAGTTGGCGTCTTGGCAAAAGTCACCTCCCTCTTGTGGCTTGTCTCGGGCGTCTTGGAGTGCCCCAGGACTTCTGGGCGTTTCAGGGCGCTGTTGCTCACAAAGCGTGCGGAAGCAGGGCTGGTGACATTATCGACCTGCTTGCTGGAGGAAGAGATGTCGATAGAGAGTTCAGAACGGCGGGACACAGGCTCCGGAGTCTTGGAACCTCCTCCACCCATGATAGAGCGGGGCTGGGTATAGTTGAGGTTGTTGTTGTTAGTGGCCGGGGTGGCAGAACCGAGGTCACGATAGTAGATGCTGGTGGGAGACATGGCGTTACGGTGAGGTGAGTTGGTTGTCCGGCGGGAGCCGGGTGAAGAGTGAGATGAAGTGTCAACATCCTCTACCTCAAAGGACCTCTTCAGGGCTGCATGAAGGAGACCAAGACAGCGTTTTATTCATACAGTCATTCAAGTGCACGCAAGCAGTTACAAAGGGCTTTACAAGTGATTTAGAGAAAAAGCAAAAAGTTGGTAGATTCACAATAAAATATTATAGAAAATTAAAGCGCTGATTAATAACAACACAAAATCTAGTTGAAACACAGGTTAAATAACACAAAAGTATTGGTCTATATTGGTAAAAGTGTTACCCACTACATATGTAATTAAAGTAAGCAAATAGTAGTACATAAGTACAAAAACAATCTTCAGAAATGTATGAACATAACTAAGCTATTGTTGTTCCTGTAGAAATGCTTCAATTCACAAGTAGCAGTTTGCTCTTTTACTGCTGTCTGGCATCAAAATAGTTTAAATTATATTTATATTCATATCACAGGTCATTGTAACAAGTGTGGAATTGTTAATGAAGTAAAAAAGAGGAAAAACACTCTCCTGCTTCACAAATGCATGCAAGCAGTATCTCTAACTTGTACTAAACATACTTGGTTACTTTTCACATAAAACAGAACACAACTGGTTGAAAGCTCGTTAATTTGCTGGTACAATTTCTTAAATAAATCAAGTACATCCTTCGCTTATAAACGGTGACATTTACAAGTAGCAGGAACAAAGTCATAAAAAAGTCATCAAAAAGGTCAAACCAATTAAGTGAGAAATATAAAAAGTTAACTGTTTTTTCTAAAGGCATTATGAACAGCACCCAAGTAGTAAAGCGCCTGGGGTTTGAGGGTGGAGAAGCTGTAGGAACAGTTTTGGTGGCACTCGAGAGGAACAGCATGCGCTAGTAATTAAGCCGTGTACTGTATCTAATTTCATTCTCAATCACCAGCAGCAAGTTTTTCGCTGCCGTATGGACTGACATGTTTAAGCCAGTCCATGCCTTTCTTTGTCACGACCTTGCTTGCTACGTGTGTGGTACGCTACAATATAAAATTCTAGGCTTTCACACAGAGTCACTCGAAGCGTTTCACGGCATGTTATAGCGCACGCAATCAGTCAAACATCGACTGCCAAGCATCTGGGCAAAAAAAAGTCCCAAGACTCCCTGTTTTTGAGCAAAGTCAACACACAGATAAAGGCACGTAGTTCCCCAAGGTTAGTTGTGATGTGAGAAAATAACAGCACTGTCCAAGAAGACACTGAAGGATGGAATCACCCCCTGGTAAGACTGTGCTGGCTGAGAGTCAACTTGAATTTGACTCTCAGAGTTGCTGTGCCAAGCCAGTGGCCAGGAGCTGGCATCATAATGATATACTAGTAAGACTAGTCCACTCACGCACACCCTTTAAGAGCATCTCTAGTTTCTTACAATCCAAAGCACAGTGCTGATTATTTGATCTGCTTGTGGCTTGCGGTGTTCCCAAGTGTGCCTATGTCTTTATGCAACTATTTGGAGTTTTGTTCAAAATGCTTGTAAAGACATGTAAGTATGTGTTGAGGGAATGTATACATGTTTATTTTTAAGCAACTACACAGGGAGGACACAGAGCTGCAGCTTCACTGCTCTCAAAACTCTGTGGAACTCAACACAATCACATCAAAGCTGCACATCAGCCAGCATCCCTAATCTGATTTACTGCCATGAGATGCCTCCTAGCAGCACGGTGGACATTTGATACAATTTGCTGTCTAAGAAAAATTCAGGCCAAAGCCGATGTCTTGTTCTCCTTTTTGTGTTAGTTGGACACACCAAGGAAATTCCCATGCACCGCGGGAATAAATAAATCTGATCTCACATCTTGGAGTTCGTGGTGATTTGTCTTACAAATCCCTTTAACTCCCCGCACCTCCCTGTACACCACTCATCTGGACCTTGAGGTACAGTTACCTTTCATCCTTGGCACTATTACTATGTAGAAGACTGGTTTTATAAATGTTGTCTTAGCCATTAGGCAGATAAAACCTGAAGTCACTGCATATAATGTAGCTGTGCAACGCCTGTGCTATGTGTGGAAAACATCTGTTTTACTAAGAAAAGTTGAAACGTTGACAAAAGATCATTAACAACTACTAATAAACACTTTAACAATATTCTTTCTCACAATTCTGTTTCTTATTGCCTGAAGTTCAATATCCAACTTTACAGTCTATTACTTGAATATGCAATCTGTAAATGGTGTCCAAACCCACACTGCAACCGAACTATGCCCTTCTTACGCCTGCTGTCTTGTTTTTGATGATTCCTAAGAGGGAGTCCAAGGTTATGGCTACTTTCAACTCTGACCAGAAAATGAGTCGGTGTGCCAAAATCAGTCTGCACATTTCACAGGAAGCAAAGAGGCTGTGATACATGCATGAGTCTAATCAGTGAGGCATTATTTTTAACCTCCTCTGCAGTCAGGACTGCAGACACCCGTGCACACTCTTAACTTTTCTTGACACTTGCTGTAGACTTTTGTTTAACTTTGGAGAAGTTGCAAGTGTGAGAAGCGAAACCTGGGGGATATATTCACAAGTCTGACCAAAATCAGAGAGCTGAACCAAAATGTTTTCCAGTGACCTGTTAAGTGATTGCAGATTAGTATTTCTGGTCTTGGCTGCTTTGTGATTATATGCCTTCAGGCACGTGACTGGAGCAAAGGGTTTGAGTGCTTTGCTCTCAGGTTGTTTGTATTTAGAGGCCGTGCAGCCAAGTGTACATAATTTAAGAGCACAAGTGTATTTTAATCTTTCTCTGCTTTTTTTTTTTCTAGGAATAAAGAGAGTGGAAAAGGGCATTCAGGGGCATTTTTCATTCACTCATCAGTCAACTCTTATATTCTTATTCATAAAGTCTGTCATACCTCGTTCTGTTTTCTTGTTTAGCCAAAGAAAAAAGAGGAAGAAAGAATATCCTAAGTACAGGATCATATAGCAATAGAAATAGTATTTCTGCAGGACTGACAGATGGATGAAAGAGCATAGTTCCCTGTGAAAGAGCATTCCCAGACTATGAGCAAGAAATGAGAGGTCCAGTCTACCCCAGAGGAAACTCATTAACAGGAGCCAGAGGCCTCATCTCCCCACGTCCCTCCACTACCTATCACTGCCCAGTCTTCCAGTATCTCACACTATCTCCTGTGGGAAGATAATGCAGCTCAGACAATGTATCTCAGGACTACCACTATAAAAAACCCCAAAACAAAACACACACAAAAACAGAAGCAGCTGTTCACAGTCATTTATCCTATATGCAGCCCAGGTGCCTAGCCACACTGTCTCTTTATCATCAGTGTCATCACTTACTCTCAAGGACATCCCAACAAATGAACGCAAACATTCGGTATCATCTCAGTGCAGATGGACTAATAAGAGATAGTCAGGGCTTTGAGGGCGGAAAACAAACACAAAAGAAAGGAGGGAAAGGCAGAACACTAGAAAGTGGGAGAAGCCAAAACAAAACTGTAAGCGCTTCTATTACTGGCATGAGCTGGGAGTGAGGGCTTTCCACACTGATTTGGTATGTCAAAGGTGCACATCATTAGTTAAGGGATGAGCTGACACATTATTACATTGCTGCAATAAGATTGCAAAGGTCGTAAGACTGGAAATATAATAATATAATTGACAAAAATCTTACAACATGAAATATATTGCATATGGTGCTGGCAAGTTTTAGAGATGACTGGTTCTTATTTCAGTGATTAAAAACACTGATTTTTATTTTTTTATTTTTAAATTGATTGATGTTCAGTTCCTGTTAATGAACTTCACCACTTGTTATGTATGTAGCCCAATAAAAGTCCGCTGGGAAAGGGAAGGGATTATGCATCTGAACTGCTGTAAGGCATTTAATGTGGAACAGATGGGTAAAGTGCTTAGTTTGCATTAACAGCAAACTGCTTTAACAGCAAATTAACACCATAAACAGGAGCAGATTAGAAAATTATGTTTTTTTAAACTAAGATGACAAAACTGGGAAAATTACAAATAAAGGACTGTCAGATAAAAGGCGTAGTTTTACAGCACACCTGCAAACATTTCATTCATTTGAGTATTGTGGTAACGTCCTTTTAGATGGTAAATGTATATAAAAGTATATTGCATATATACTGCATATATTGCAGTGCAAACAACAACAACAACATAAACAAAACAGTACATCAGTATTTTGATTAATAAAAGGGCGTACTTCATTTTACATAGCCTTGAACTCACAACTGGGTCCAGTAATTCTAGCCTCAGAGTCATACGTCAAGTGATTAAGACAGTTGCTGTCTGTCACACACTGGTTATTTAAGACCATTTTATGCACAGCGCAGTTTATCTGATGTCAGTAGCCACTGAATATATATCGATGTGGTCAGGCAAGGAAAAACATGACCAAGGCTTTAACTGACAGGACAAGGCCAAACAATAAACGATAGAATTTCACACTATGCTATTCTGCTGGGTAAGACAAAACCTTAATGCTAAACTGTCAAACACACACTTCCTTCAGCTGCCCACTGACGGTGTTGGGTTAGCTAATGGTGCCCGGGAGCAGTACATCTCAGTGTGTCAGATTTACTGCACTGGTCTGGCCGAGGAAAATGAAATTCTGGGAATGTTATAGGTGTTGTGGTGAAGTGGAAAGACATTAGAGGAGAAGCGAGTGTGGAGAAATGACCAAAATTTGCATTTTTAGTTTTTATTTTTTGCCATAATGTTGATGAAGCAGATGCTTAAAACCAAGATCTGAGCTCTAATCAGAACCAAGAGGTAGTTTCACCTGTTAGATTTTTTAATGCGCACACTTTCCAAACTGATTGGAGTCTGATGTTGAAAGGCTACCCCAGTTCTTGGCTTTAGGTTCTCAAGGCTGTAACCTGAGCGATAAATCCTTATTCTTGTACTTTGATCATCCACTGGCTAACTGTATTCCACATGAATAAACCGATTTACATCAGTGATCAGTGAAGGTATAAAGAAAGTTGTTGCATTCCACTTACCGACAGATAACAAACTGATTGGGCTTAAAGTCCTGATATAAAGGGAGTGAGGG